CAGAGCTGTATCCTCGATCAGTCCTTGAAGAAACTGTTCCTGAGGACAAAATAAATCAATATTCCAAACACTGTAATGTTATTTGGAGCAATGAAGTTGCTATTGTGACTCATTACGATTTAGACAAAGTCAAAGTTAGCTTTATTGTCAAAAACCATATGTACAGATCAAACAGGAATTTTGAAATTAAAATGCTCCCATGACCCTCAGTGTACACTAAAACAAAATAAAGATAAAAACATAAAAATAAAATAGGAGTCTTATGTACAATACATTGAGATTTAGAACAGACATTGGTAGACACATACACACACTGTGCAAGTATGCTTTACGATTTCCAGTGTTTGTGACACAGCTGTGAGAAACATTCCTAAATTCAGACAAACATTATTTGACACAGTAAGTACCATCAACTTTTAAAGAAATGTGATGCTGTCACAGGATATAAGGTGCACACTGAGGTTATACAGCCCCACCTGTTTGGCCGCCTCCTCTGGGATGTCCAGCTCTCTGAGCTGCTGCAGAAACACTGGGTTGACATCCTGAGAACCTGAGTCTGGGCCTGATTGCTCCGATGGCTCCATTATAGCTGCAAAAAGAGAAGCCGCGATACTGAACAACCTCCACAGAACGAACTAGGGCTGAACGATTATGGAAAAGAATCAAATTGCGATTTTTTTGCCCCAATATTGCGATGCGATTATTTTTTAAGGTCTTTGTCTTCTGTATTATTAAACAAAGACAAGCAATACATCATATAGAATGGCCAATACTATATTACATTAATTTTAAACTGTTCTTTCCTGGAAGACAGACCTCTGTTATGATGACATGAGGTGATGCATGAATTGATGACTGACATTGTTATTTAACTTCTTCAATCACAACAGTATATTTGAACATACACAATAGTTTATTTTTAGCTTACAAACATCTGAGCATAAAGTGCTGACAAGGAACCCTGGTGTAAACATTTAAATGAAAGTCAGTGCAATGTGCAGATTGCAGAAATATACATAAAAAAAATCAGTGGCTTTACCACACTCAGTTTTTCGACATCTGTGAACTACTAGACAGTCATTAAATTAAAAAATAATATTAAATAAATAAAACTAATAAATAAAAAATACACACATCTTACTGATCTCTGCAGTCAGTAACATTACACATAAAGTCCAAACATAATAGCAATTGTATAAACAACACACAAACACGCCTTTAAATTAAAACTGGCTGAACATCTTGATTATCTGCAGTAAGTAACAGCAACACAGCACAAACTAAAGTGCACAATGAGTATGGCTCAGCTAGCCATAATCATCCTAGCTCACAGGTTTTTTGCTAGGAAGACCAGCATACAGTGGGGCAAAAAAGTATTTAGTCAGCCACCGATTGTGCAAGTTCCCCCACCTAAAATGATGACAGAGGTCAGTAATTTGCACCAGAGGTACACTTCAACTGTGAGAGACAGAATGTGAAAAAAAAATCCATGAATCCACATGGTAGGATTTGTAAAGAATTTATTCGTAAATCAGGGTGGAAAATAAGTATTTGGTCAATAACAAAAATACAACTCAATACTTTGTAACATAACCTTTGTTGCAATAACAGAGGTCAAAAGTTTACTATAGGTCTTTACCAGGTTTGCACACACAGTAGCTGGTATTTTGGCCCATTCCTCCATGCAGATCTTCTCGAGAGCAGTGATGTTTTGGGGCTGTCGCCGAGCAACACGGACTTTCAACTCCCGCCACAGATTTTCTATGGGGTTGAGGTCTGGAGACTGGCTAGGCCACTCCAGGACTTTCAAATGCTTCTTACGGAGCCACTCCTTTGTTGCCCGGGCGGTGTGTTTTGGATCATTGTCATGTTGGAAGACCCAGCCTCGTTTCATCTTCAAAGTTCTCACTGATGGAAGGAGGTTTTGGCTCAAAATCTCACGATACATGGCCCCATTCATTCTGTCCTTAACACGGATCAGTCGTCCTGTCCCCTTGGCAGAAAAACAGCCCCATAGCATGATGTTTCCACCCCCATGCTTCACAGTAGTGTTCTTGGGATGCAACTCAGTATTCTTCTTCCTCCAAACACGACGAGTTGAGTTTATACCAAAAAGTTCTACTTTGGTTTCATCTGACCACATGACATTCTCCCAATCCTCTGCTGTATCATCCATGTGCTCTCTGGCAAACTTCAGACGGGCCTGGACATGCACTGGCTTCAGCAGCGGAACACGTCTGGCACTGCGGGATTTGATTCCCTGCCGTTGTAGTGTGTTACTGATGGTGACCTTTGTTACTTTGGTCCCAGCTCTCTGCAGGTCATTCACCAGGTCCCCCCGTGTGGTTCTGGGATCTTTGCTCACCGTTCTCATGATCATTTTGACCCCACGGGATGAGATCTTGCGTGGAGCCCCAGATCGAGGGAGATTATCAGTGGTCTTGTATGTCTTCCATTTTCTGATGATTGCTCCCACAGTTGATTTTTTCACACCAAGCTGCTTGCCTATTGTAGATTCACTCTTCCCAGTCTGGTGCAGGTCTACAATACTTTTCCTGGTGTCCTTCGAAAGCTCTTTGGTCTTGGCCATGGCGGACTTTGGAGTCTGACTGTTTGAGGCTGTGGACAGGTGTCTTTTATACAGATGATGAGTTCAAACAGGTGCCATTCATACAGGTAACGAGTGGGGGACAGAAAAGCTTCTTACAGAAGACATTACAGGTCTGTGAGAGCCAGAGATTTTCCTTGTTTGAGGTGACCAAATACTTATTTTCCACCCTAATTTACGAATAAATTCTTTACAAATCCTACCATGTGAATTCATGGATTTTTTTTTCACATTCTGTCTCTCACAGTTGAAGTGTACCTCTGGTGCAAATTACTGACCTCTGTCATCATTTTGAGTGGGGGAACTTGCACAATCGGTGGCTGACTAAATACTTTTTTGCCCCACTGTATCTACTTTTGCTGGCTTTAAGGATGAGCGAGTGCAGGTCACTATATTCCCTCCAGTGCTGAACAGACGCTCTGAGGGGGCACTTGTGGCCGGCACACACAGATATTTGCGGGCCATCTTGCACAGTCGTGGAAAGTGAATGTTGTGCACCTTCCACCAGGCTAAGGGATCATCCTCTCCGTCAATGACAGGGGTCAACAGGTAACTATTCAACTCTGCCTCCACGACATCTTCAAGTGGCAGAGGCAAAGCTGAAGAGGCCGCACTGGTCCTCAGACGGTCGGGTAGGCCGGAAGTAAACGGCCGTGAAATTGGACGGTCTAGCCTTCTGATTAGCGTCACCGCTGTCTCGGTGGAGTTTAATAAACTCGGCCGTCTGCCTCTTGCTATCTAAAATATAACCAGACACTGGTGTAAATTCTCGACTGTCTCATACTTCTGTTTAATAAGTTTTCTGTTTGACGTTTAGTCAGCTGTGTGAAAACCAAGGAGGAACCCACCCGGGGGATTAATAAAGTTTTATTTTATCTAATCTAATAACTTTAATCTCAGCCAAACCGATTTACTCACGAACAAACAAAACACTGAAAAAAAGCCCAACAATAACATTTTTAGGTTGTGTAAGTGACTTATATATTACGTTTAACCCGAGCAGCGATAGTCCGCGGTGATCTGAAAATGATGTGCCGGGAGTTGTGCCGTTCTCGGCCGCATCAGTAACCCTCGAGCTCCCGGCTAGCTGTCGAGCTGGTGGGTAGCAGACGCCTCCGAAAACGTCACTTTTGCAAATATGCGATATCTTGATAAACCGAGCAGATATTTGATGTTTACACAACTACTTTCTCGCCTGAAAATATGTTAAAAGTTTATTTTGTGACCCAGAAAGATTAGTATGAGTAATTTTAAAACTTAGTAGCGGCCGCCATTGTTGGAAACTGGAGTTTGGCTGGGCCGCGCTATGAATTCTGGAATATGGTAGGCCACGAAGGACACACCCGACCCATCCTTCAAATTCGGGGAAAAGGAGGACGCATTTGTCGGCTACATTCGGAGGAGTCTACGAATTTGGACAGCCTTCGGCGCGTCGCTGTGACGTAATCGGTCTACAAATGCGGCCTCAGGAGGATGCAGCCCATGAATTTGGACATGTCCAGAGTATAATCGCAGCCTTTGCGGTTAGAAAATTGCACTTGATCATGTCGCGATATTATCGCAAATGCGATATATTGTTCAGCCCTAGAACGAACCCTGTTGAATTAACCCTCATAATGTCCTCCCGATTTACATACAACTGTGGTCCTCAGGGGTCAAAAATGTCCCCACTTCATTTGACTGTTTTTTTAAAGTATAAAGTATAAATTGTCAATCAATTCAGTGTTACATCTTAGTTTAACTTAAGACCAACACATTAACACAAAATTTACCCAACATTATACATTTTAGGGCCACCAGACCTTGTTTACAAAAAATACACCCTGTTTTTTAGCGAAAACAAATTGAGAAAATTAAATATTTAATTGTTTAGATAATTTTGACTGACTAACTACAGAGTGCTGTATGTTGAACTTTAGTGAGAATTTTTTTTTTTTAACCATTTAAATTTTTTTAAATGGCAGCACATAATAACACTTGTGGTCCTCAGGGGTCAAAAATGTCCCCACTTCATTTGACTGTTTTTTAAAGTATAAAGTATAAATTGTCAATCAATTCAGTGTTACATCTTAGTTTTACTTAAGGCCAACACATTATGACAAAATTTCGCCATAATTTTGCAATTTTAGGCCACCAGACCCCATTTATATAAAGTATACTCTGTTTTTGAGTAAAAATAACATGAAACATCAAAATAATTTGAATTTATATAGTTTTCAGTACTTGACTTATCACAGAGTAGTATATATCAGAATTTAGTGAGGGTGTTGGTTTTAAATCATTTGAATTTTTTTAATGGCAGCACATAATCACACCTGTGGTCCTCAGGGGTCAAAAATGTCCCCATCTGGTTCAACTTTGTATAAGGCATAAAGTATCACCCACCTCTCTGTTGCAATTTATATATTCAACTTTATTTGAACTCATTACCTGACATATAAAACATGCCAACATTCATTTCCAAAACATTTAACTTTTCAAAAGTAACTTTTCATAATACAGTAGTCTGAATGTGCCCTCAGTTGCATGCATGGCACACAGTTATGGTGTGAGTTTTACAGATGTACGCATTGCATTTTTGGCAGATTTTTGATGCTTTGCGACTAATCTTGCTGGGGCAGAACTTGCACCTTTTTCTTTTGGGTGATGGGCCAGTAGGGGCAGCTGGGTGAGGAAGTTCTGCTGCAGAGGTAGAGCTGGAGCAGAACTGCCGGTTCTCCCTAACGAATCTGGCAGTTTCTGGTGTGCGGGGAATAACCTGTCAAGTCAAGTCAAACTTTATTATAACAAGTCATAGTACAATTACAAATAGTTCAAATTCTGAGATCACTGTAGAATAAAGAGTAGCAGAAATGCAGCTTAGTGCTAACCTTCCGTCGCTGGATGTAAGGTATCACCAGTTGCTGCCCAAGCTCCTCCATAAAGAGTCTCCTCTTGTTGCACTTCCCCTGATTCCAGGCTGGATTGATCTCTGACCACAAGACAAACGAGTTGTATACAGACACGTCGAGAATGTTGTAGAAAACAACGAGGGGCCAACTGGCTGTCTTTCTTTTGCATGTGTACACACTCGTAGCCTGAAACAAAAGAAACAAACCAAAAACTATTCAGATATGTAAGTTTCTTTTCCTACACCCAAATTCAGTGCATTATCCTTTCCATCTATGATATGACAAATATTATAAATAATAAATGTGCAATACCTTGTCGAGGTTATCGACACCCCCCTTGTTGCGATTGTAATCTTCGATGATTTTTGGCCTTTTGTCATCCCTGGTGCTCAAAACAGCATCCCGATGCAGAGTGCTCATCAGAAGAACATTTTTCTGTTTTCTGGGGTGGTAGGACACCAAAGCATGGGTCTCGGTGAAGGCAAACTTTGATGAGAACTGAGCCCTGTTCATTTTTGACACCAGCGCAGGGGGCAGTTCGGGCTTATTCCTCCGTACTGTTCCCACCATGTACAGTTTTCTTCTCAGTAGTTGCAGGCCAAGGTCATATGATGTGAAGAAGTTGTCACAGGTTATTGTTTTCCCCTGGAGACCTTCTGTCATCTCAAGAACAACTCGCTTGCCCTGATTTTTTTCTGACTGTGCACCAGCAGGTTTGCCAGTGTATACTTGCATGTTCCATGCATAGCTAGACCTGGCATCACATGCTGCCCATATTTTTATGCCATACTTTCCTGGTTTGCATGAAATGTACTGTTTAAATGGACAGCGACCTCTGAAGGGCACTAGACGCTCATCCACAGTGACATCAGTGCCTGGATTATACATCATTGGCAGAAGAGACACCCACTTGTTCCATACATCCCGAATGGGAGCAAGTTTGTCTCGTGCACGCCGATCTCCTCTTGTGTCTTTATCATCAAAACGAATAATTCTTGAGATTTTCTGAAACACCTTCAGTGTCATGGTAGCACGAAAAAATGTCCTACCAGACTCAGCATGCCATAAACTAGCTGTAGGTTCCTTATTGGAGCGGTACACACCAGCGAGAATCAACATACCTACATATGCCTGCAGGTCGATTGGATCCATCTTCCTCCACTTGTTGCCATACACACGACGCCCCTCCTTGTTTGTCATGTTCAGTATCACCTCTTCAATAGACTTGGGCAGAAACAGGGCAAAAGTAGATTTTATGTCATCAATACGAGAAATTGCATATGTGGTTGGACCACAGTGGCTTTTGTCTCTCTCTACTTTCATCATGCGTCGTCTGTCACTGGGAGGAACCGAACACCAGATCAGTTTTTTGTCCTTTGACTGGAAATATTCCTCTGTCTCAGCTGGGTCCTCTGTCTCAGCTGGGTCCTCTGTCTCAGCTGGGTCCTCTTCCACAGATTCTTCCTCATCGGTTGATTCTTTCTCTTCATCAGAAGTGTAGTCTTCCACAGATGATACTTCTTCCATTTCAGGTTCAGATTCTTCCTCATCATATTCATCGTTTTCCATCACTTCATACTGTTCTTCAGTTTCTGCAGCTGGCGATGTGGGGGATTCTTCAGAGAAAGAACTAGCATGTGGTCCATATGCTCGATCTTCATCATTATTTTCCTCCGCGTCTGAAGATGAATCATCCTCATCCTGGTCGTTCTTTTCAACAGCTTGGTTAAAAATTAGCTCACAAGTCTCTTGTGCAGTAAAGAGCTTCTGCCTCTTCATTTTGCTGCTTCTCTCTCCCAGAGTAAAGCAAGAAATGCCCCAAAACTTGTGACAAAAGAGCTTTTTCCCCGCCTTTTTTTTTTTGTTTTATTTTATTGTGTGTGTGTGTGTCCCCATACATCAAAGATCAAAGATGTTTTGGAAAGGAGCATGGTGTTTACCCTAACGCACCACTTTATACTGAGGGGTCATTTTTGTCCACGAGGACCACAAGTGTTATAAAATCCAATAAAAACCCTATAGATAAATCAAATTACTTAAAACTTATTGCAATCATGCATAGCATAGCACTGAATAACTTCTGTTATTTTCAGCCCATTTGATGAATAACAAACACATTTTGATAGCAAAAGATTTCTTTAGAGGACAAAAATTTGGACGGCTGAACCGAATGGCAACAATTAACGTCATGCGGTCTGTCACCTTTAAGAGTTAGGTCTGGTTTGAAAATGAATGAACTGTGATTTGAACATCTTCTATATGGAAGACTAGCGTATTAGGTTAACCCAAGCAGCGCTGTGCAGAACAGCAAAGTAGAATAGACAAGACAAGGGGTGTTAAGCTGTACGCTGATGCAAACTACGTTGCACACCGTTCAGATTAGCAACCCTAGCCTTGCAGCGTGTGATGGAAAAAAATAACCGTATTCGGGATGTTGCAATGTGACAGTAAATATGACTCGAGAGAAATGTTTTATGTGAATATTTTGTGCCAAAGAAATCATGCTAAGATTTCTTTCTACTATTGTCGAATTACAGGGATAGCTAGCTAAAATTAGCACTAGCCGCTAATGCTAACTTTGCTAGCAACCCAGCTAGTTCGCTGGAGTTACCTGTTCCTTGCAGAAAGCTTGACGACAGGAACAAAAATGGTGTCTGCGGTTTCTCAAAGTCTTAAATTTTCCTTGCGATGGAATAATGTCTGTTCGAATAATGAATTACATTACACGAATTCTCATCTAGTACTGCCTTCGGAACTACTCCATTTTGGTCGATTGTGTTGAGGTGGGGGGGGTTAATATTTCTTCTGCCGCTTGTTTTTCTTATACTCTTTGGTTTAATGGCGGTTGTCAGACCAGCTCAAGGTACATTAGCGCCACCTACTGAACTGGAGTGTTACTTTGAACTTGACAAAAATAAATAAAAAAAATATTTTTTAAAAAGCTTCTTTCTAATAAATCTATCCTTCTCATAACCACACCAGTTACCTATAGACCTGCAGCAGTGGCTTTCCAATGAGGTCTTCCAAAGTAAAACGAATCTTCAGCTCCTTGAAAGTTCCTATTATGATAATATACTTTTTCTTTTCTGATCATAGGCCTGACGCTCCAAGTATACATGCTGGAGAGATTTGGGTTGCAGTGCATGCAGAGACCAGTTGGATCCTTGTCTATTAAATACAATGTGTGCTCTACTCTGAAACAGGTATTTATTATTTCTTCCATTCAGATCCTGCCAATTTTTCTGAATATTGGCATCTCTCATCAAATACTTAATTGAATATTAGATGTCTTCCTGGGTCATTGATGCTCCAGTGCTCCTGCCATACATTTAGGATCTTACCGTTTATCATCAACTAAAGTCAGTGCTTCCTAAATTCCATTAACATGTAGACTTTGTAACAAGGGGGGAGTCTTACGCTGGATCTTGTTTACACAAATATTCCCAGTGTGTACCGAGCGAAGCCCTGCCCTCGCCTCGGATACTCAGACTACTTGTCTGTTATGCTAATTCTGGCATGTAGACCGCTCATCAGATGCTGCAAATCGGTGCTGAGACGGGTGAGAACCTGGCCTACAGGAGCACTTTCTGCTCTTCAGGACTGTTTTGAGTACACTGACTGGGACGTGTTCAGGGAGGCTGCAACAAATGGCGACCACACCACCTTGGAGGAGTACACATCTGTGACCAGCTACATCAGTAGGTGCATCGATGATGTCAAATGCTGTTCATAGACTTCAGGTCAGCATTCAACACAATCATTCCTCAGCACCTGATTGGAAAATTGAGCCTGCTGGGCCTGAACAGCAGTCCGGATTGGTAACAGCATCTCCAACACCACTACCACACTGAGCACTGGAGCCCCTCAGGGCTGTGTGCTCAGCCCACTGCTCTTCACTCTGCTGACTCATGACTCTGCATAAATGCACAGTTTAATCCACATCATCAAATTTGCCGATGACACGACTGCGGTGGGTCTCACCAGCAAGAACGAAGAGTCAGCATACGGAGAGGAGGTGCAACAGCTAACAGACTGGTGTAGAGTCGACAACCTGTCTTTGAACGTGGACAAAACAAAAGAGCTGATTGTAGAATTCAGGAGAGCACATAAAGATCACTGTCCACTTAACATCGATGGATCCTCTGTGGAGGTTGTCAATAGCACCAAATTCCTTGGTGTCCACCTGGCGGAGAACCTCTCCTAGTCCTTCAACACCAGCTCCATAACTAAAGAGGCCCAACAGCATCTCTACTTCCTGCAGAAGCTGAGAAAAGCTCATCTCCCTCCATGCATTCTCACCACCTTCTACAGAAGGACTATCGAGAGCGTCCTGAGCAGCTGCATCACTGTCTGGTATGGCAACTGCATCGCATCGGATTGCAAACCCTACAACAGATAGTGAGAGCAGCTGAGAAGATCATTGGAGCCTCTCTTCCCTCCATCACAGACACCAATCGCACCCACTGCATCTGCAAAGCCACCAGGAGGACCCCACACACCCCTCACACACACAATCTTCACCCTGCTGCCTTCTGGCAAGAGGTACCGGAGCATTTGGGCCCTCACTGCCAGACTGTGAAACAGTTTCTTCCCCCAAGCCGTCAGACTCCTGAACACTCGGTGACTGGACTGACACACACACCTTCATACATCAAGTGACTTTTTGCACAGTGTTCAGTCTTTTGCACAACCCACTGTCATTGTTGTACTTTTCTATTGCACTGTCCTGTGTCTTTATCGTTCTGTTCTGTCTGGTGTTGCACTTGCACTTCATGTGTTGATTGTCTGTTATGTCATATGTGGCACCATGGTCGAGGAGGACTGTTGTCTCGCTTCACTGTGTACTGTACCACTGCACATGGTTGAAATAAAGCCACTTGACTTGATCATGAATATAACAACTATAATAATTTGACTTCATCTTTGCTAAATAGTATCTGTAAATCTGACTGTTTCCCCAATACATCTACATCCAGTTCCTTCCACACCTACATGAGCAGGAAATAAACACTTACACCCTTACTGTACAACATTTGCAAATTGGAATATATTTCATATGTAACATCTAGTCTGCATCGTTTACCTGGTGTAATAGGTGCTTATAAATTATCTGATCTAACAACTATATTCTTTTGACTCTTCTATTCAACCCATGGTGAACCTAACATCATGTCCACCAGGTCTACTGTACACTAATAGATTATCTAGCCTATAAGCTACAGAACAGTCAAGATCTCATTCAGGGCCAGTAACTGTTTTTCACTGACTGGCCAGATGCCCACCAAGAACAACCTGATAAACACTGCAAAAGATTGTTGATCTTATGTTTGGTTTTAATTTGATCTATTTAAGGTCTCCAAGTCAGCTTTCCATCAGATACACTACATGGACACTGAACAATATGAACTTTCTCAAATGTTTGCCCATATAGTGTTGAGGAGAGTGGTTGATCTCATTTAGAGAATTGCTTGACTCTTTATTACAGACAATATTAATCCCCACTCATATGATGATTGTTACTTTACATTTATTGCTGTCTAGTGCTCCATGGCATGCATACAAAGAATTCCCTATTCCCTGCTCTTCATTTTATTAAATAACAGTGGACCACATATGCCTGTGGTGTATATGATTTAGAATAGTTACTGCTCTGACCTCTGTTGTTTCTCCAAACAGAAAAACAACCACCCAATTGTACAGTCTACCCCTTTGTTTACCCTACTTAGGCATAAAACAGTAAATCCAACTTGGGGAAGATTTGGGGGGGTGAAGTCAGAGACGCTGGGTCCTCAACTTCTGCAACAAGGCACTCAAATGATACACAGCACCGAAAAGACAAAACAGAGGGAGACTCACAAACAAATATACAAGACCCAGGAGACGCCCACCATCCACGGCATCCAAGGGGGCTGAAGATCCGAGGCCACGCGTCCCGATGACAACCATGCGTCTAACCCAGCTGAGGGAAGAGGGAGGGCCCGGAGGGAGACCTCTGCCTTTTATATGGAATCGGGGGCATCGCAAAGGGGAGAACAGTGATGACGATTCTAACAGTATAACTGTCAGTTTTTTGCTTTTTAACGAAAATTGTTAACTTTCAAGATTTGGTTTGGTCCAGGTTACCCACTCCTGGCTGATACTGAGTGCGAGAGACTGTAGAATGGCTCAGTTAAAAGCCAAGTCTGACTATCCAAAAAAACAAAAAAAAACAAAACAAACAAACAAACAAACAAACAAAAAAACCCCACAGGTGGCAATTAGACTCATAGCAAAGTCCACATGAAAGAAACTGCTCGACTTTCCTAGTATTAGTTAGCTTACTTCATTTGTAGCAGAAGACAACATGTTTGAGTTATTTTAGCCAACATGTAATCAGGCAGACCCTTTCTTTCTACACAATACTAATATTGTAATAATAGTGATAATCCATTATCATTATAACCCACATAAAGGCTGTTTTGGACAAGTGTGTATTGCTCTGCATATATTTTGCCTGTGACTGCTGCAGGTGACAGAGCTTTCAGTAAGCTAAACCCATCACTTGACTGGAGGCCTCTACAATGATGCTCCCACCTCCTTTCACGTTCTTGACTTGGTTAGACGTTGTGAAATTGCTTAACTATGGAAATAATTCTGTCATCATACATTTGAGGTCATCTGTTGCATCCCAGGCCTCTTGGTGTTGCTGAGCTATTCAGTGCATTTGTTCTTTATAAGAATATACTAGACCCACATCACCCCTACTTGTGGCCCATATATCGATGTGAAAAATATACTGCAATTTGGCCCTTGAAGTTATTTGGCCCTCTTTGTTGCAGGGCTATGTTAGCTGGTAGCACAGCTGTTTTTAAGTCCTAACATGCCCGAGAGCGTTCATAGTGGTAGGTTTTTGAAATCAAGGAAAAAAGACAGCTTTCAGAATACTTTATTTCATTTGTGAGAATGTTCACCTTCTCTTATTAAACAGGTTAAATCACTACAGCTGCATCTTTAATCAGTATGTACAAAGATATTAACACACAAAATAAGAAACATCCTAAACCTGCTCCTTGCAGAGCCTGCTCTACATTGCCAAATTTATACAGCCTGGATTCCCCCCAATGGTTCTTTGTTCATCACTGAGCTCTCAGCTCAAGATGAACAGACTCCATGTGTTTGTAAAAGTCATTATTACCTGTGTTATGTAGTGTTGTAACAAATGGCCCACATTCTGACACACTGACCCTGGTAATTACACACTTCGGGCTCAAACTGATAAATCTTCATTTGAGTGGAGGGTGGGTAGAAAAAGTCTTTTCTACTGTCACCTTTTTTTGGGACTGGGTACTAGCATACTTCAGTAGTAGATACTCTAATTTACAACTTGTAGTACTTTGTGTATTAAAACATTAAACAACATCAGATTTGAGAAAACAAAAATCAAGTGCACTTTATAAAATACGCATGTAGACTACTCAAACTGTTATATCGTTTCTATAGTTGTGTCAAAATCTGTTTCCCCATTGATTTCCAATCCTACAATCACCTGAAACTAAACAAATTCCCACATAAAGAGCTGCTGTAAATATTAAAGGAGAAAGAGAGTTCAACACAAAAACCAGCAT